TCCTCCAAAGTATGTAACACGATTTTGGAAGAGGTTCAGATGCCTACCGGCCCAGGTTTCTACACACGTCTTTTGAGTTTTTCCAGGGAGAACTACTGTCTGAAGCAGGAGTCCACAAACTTTTTCAGAGAGTAAAATATTTTAGGCTTTGCAACCCGCATGGTCTCTGTCATACCTATTCGTCTCTGCTGTGGTACTGCGCAGGCAGCCACAGAAAATACAGAACCAAACGAGTGTGGCTGCATCCCAGTAAAACTTTGTTTACAAAACAGCAGGCTGGATTTGGCCCATGAGCCATAGTTTGCAACCCCTGGGATATTCAACCATCTCTATGTAAGTCTGGCCCCAGAATCAACACGCTCACAGATACACACACACATCGTGTGGCTCTGTGGTATGGCCATCAACTGTGCTGAGCAATTTAGGATCCATACATTCATTTTAAATGTGAAATTTTCTTTTTTAATATTCTTGCATTTTTATAATTTAAAATAAAATGGAAAAGAAACACATCACAATTCATAATACCAACCATGTACTAATTCTGTATCATATTCATGCAATTTCTCCTTAATGAACACATATTATAACCACTACATGCTTCTTGTTTTAGCTGACAATGGCAAAATATGACTTTATTAATAATATCTACAGGCAGAATTTGGCGGTAATGTTGGCAGGGGTAAGAATGATAGAGTTTTAAGGCTTGAAAGAATGCCAGGGGTTAAAGCAGGAGATGGAGGTGGTGGCCTCCAGGGGTGGAGGGAGTCTAAATGTCAAGCCTGTGGAAATAGAAACTACACAGATCATTTTGGCCAGAGGCTCCAATGGCTCACCTTCCTCCTATCCTCTCCTGGGCCGGCGCACCTGAAGGTCTGGATGTGAGTCTCATGTCAGTTAAGCGTGCGAGTGTGTGTACGAGGAGGGGGAGCACTGCTAGATCAGAGCACGGAGCTCAAAGACCAAGACCAGGAGTCTGGTTTCAGGTGGTCAGTATCATCCACTTATATGTCCTTAGGCCCAAAATAGAAAGGCCCTGAAGCAGCACCAATCCGTCCCAGTGTTCCTCTGGGAACACACTGCCAAGTGCACGATGGTGGTTAGCACCAACAACCTGTCGCATTATTATTGGGCTGGCCAAAAAGTTCATTTGGTTTTTTCCGATGATGGCTCTAGTAGTGCTTAGTTGTCTTTAACTTCATTCAAAACAATTCTGTTAGATTGTATGAATGACAGCTGTCATATCAGCGTGCATTAAAAAAAAACTTACCATGAATGACCCATGTACATGGACAATGGTGTGAGGATTAACTGTGGGATTGGGGTAGGGGACTGGGCACAGGAGAGCAAAGGGGGGAAATTGGGACAACTGTAAGAGAATAAGCAAGAATAAAAATTTTTTAAGAATTAAAAAAACATCAAAATTGGTGAATTTTTTGTGTAGCCATTTTAATACTGAAGATGGAAGACTATATGCACCATTGTTGGCATATTATGTTTTATTATTTCAAGAAAGGTAAAAACACAACTGAAACAAAAAAAGATTTGTGCAGTGCACAGAGAAGGTGCTGTGACTGATCGAACGAACATGTCAATGTGGTTTTTGAAGATTCATGCTGGAGCTTTCTCACTGGACAATGCTCCACAGTTGGGTAGACCAGGTGAGGTTGATAGCGATCAAATTGGGACATTAATTGAGAATAATCAACGTTATATCACCTGGGAGATAGCATCATACTCAAAATATTCAAATCAATCAAGTTATTGGTAACAATGAAAATGTGTATCTTATTTTACAGAAAAAAACCACACGGACTTTTTGGCCAACCCAATACTATAGTTACAATGAAAGTAGCAGCTATGTCTTGAATTCCCAACTATGGCATGTTTTATATCTCAAAAGAAAGTCGCCATTATGCAAGTATTTCTAATTTCTATATGTATGATGCCTCAATTATACAATCCAGACTTTCCACTATTCAGAATGGCCTTCATGATAATCTGCTCCTGTGAAATAACCACTTCCCATTAGGTAGCTATTGAAACTTTTATCACCCTAGTAATGTGGCATGAGAAAATGAACTTCTTCCCTTAATAAAAATGTTATTGCTACTCTAGATACAAAATGTTTCTATTGTTCAACTTCAATGATAAGATCCTGAAAGATTTACTACTATGGGAAGGGTGGCTATCTGTGACAAAACAATCTTAAAGGAAATAACCAATTGCTCTCTGTAAACTGAGCTAGGGGTGCTCCTCAGACACCTCTGATGCAGCCCCTGCTGAGTTTTGCAGCAGGCCATTCAACTTTGGAACAGGAAGAGAAGTATCCAATGCATAACAGAATATAAATCTTTCCAATGCAGTATGTGAGGCGACCTTTAAATATAAGAGCAACCTTCATGCTGGATGTTTTATCTTTTATTCAAACTGTATTATCAAGAAAGCATAATAATTATAGGGAAGGCATCAAGTACAATACAAAAGCTGGTTACTGTTTGTTGAGTTCTTACAGTGAGACAGCGACCGTGTATTATTTCCTTTCATCCTAACAACCACACTATAATGTGTGTTACTCCCGTCCCACAGGCAAGGAAGCAAATCGAGAAACCCAAGTCAGTCCCTACAAAAGCAGCAAAACAAAGACTGCAAGATTAATTATGGGAAAGCCAACAAGATATTGTTACCATTGTCCACCCCTTAAAAAGTTTAAATGGCTGGAGAACAAGGTCACAGGGCAAATTACAAAATCTACTCAACTCAGGGAGATAGGAGGAATGGTATAATGAAAAGAGCCCTTGATTTGGCACCACAGTGCTTGTGTCCTGGTCCAGGCTAAATCTGGAGACTCGAGTCCCTTGTTATAAAATTGTCATGATAAAATACTGTTCACTAGAGGTGTCACTAGAACACCAAGAATACAAGGAAATGTGCCTAGCACTGTGCTTGGCAGATACCACAATATTGTTTCCTTCCTTATCTTTAGTTTTCGTTTCAAAATAGAAGCAGACAAGTACAGCACAGGGAACACATTCAGTATTTCTGTAATAACTATGAATGGTGTCAGATGGGTACTAGACTTATCCATGTAAGGTATACAATCGTCTGATTCCTGTGTTGGACTCCTAATATATTATGTCAACTGTATCGGAAAAATATAATACAAGCAGATAGCTCCTATCTCTAAAATGTAAATCCTCCTTCGGCACCTCCCCCCTCCTTCCCCCACAGAGAAACACCTTTTAAGGTGCATCGCTCTGCTGTTGCTGTAAGGAAAGAGTTTTCCTATAACTCACAATCTGCCCTCTATTACCACTGCATGAAATTGTCTAGGTAAAATATAACTTCGGAAATAGTGTTTATTTCATGCTTTCAGTATACAGCAACCAGGAAGTAGTAACTAAGTACTATACGAAAGCAGTTTAGAAAAAATAATCATTAAAAATGAGTAATGGAACATTTCAAAGTAAGTACTATTGAGACGTGCAAACACCGTATATCGGTCAGCAACCAAAGAGAGTAAACTTGACTCGAAGACTCTCTCCAGCCCTCGCTCACACAGCACAAACTGGTGGTCTAAAAAACAAGTCACAGCACAGTATATGAAACGTTCAGATGTTATTCTTTTTTTGTCATATATATTCTCAGAGGGCTAAAAAACTATACAAGAGAGACTGAGGGAAATCTTACATCTTTTAAATCTATTCTCCATGAACAGCCTAGATAAATCTCTGGCTTGAAATCAGACTACTATGGTTTTAAAAATAAAACGTTCTGGGTAAAGCCGAGTAGTTCTCATTTTCAGGTTAAAAACTCATTTAAAAGTAAAATGTCTTTAGTGAAAAGTTTACGGTTGTGCGGCTTTGCCATTACAACTGTGGAAGCTGCAGGCGTCAGAAACCACATTCTACCAGGTCTGAAAACTGCGGGTCTGCAGCTCATCCTCTCCCTCCTCCCTCTTCTTGCAGACTGGCTCTCAGTGACAGCTGCACATCCTTCCTCTCATTCCTACCAAACCGCTGGGTCTAAAAAACTGTAAAGCACATGACCCTTAAACATTTACAGGGAAGCAGCGAATCAACATCCCAGAGACTTGCCAACATTCAAAGGGCAAATCACAAACTTGCTTCCTAAACCTGAAGGCAGATGCTTCTTGTCCCCAATTAAAGTGAAGGCTCCTCCCACACTCACTGGAAAACTACCAGGTTTCAGTTCTTCGTTTTTTAAAAGACAAATAAAAATGAACTCAACACATGTGTTCTTCCTTCCACTCTTACACATATTTAAATATCCCTCATTTTTTCTTCCTCTAAGTTAGAGAAATCCATAACAAACATGCTCGCTTGAAAGACATTAGGAACTCATTTGAAGGCTGAGGTTTAGAAGATAGGCAGAGAGAGGTGAGCAAGCAGAGTTCGTTTGCGTTTAATTCCTGCTTGGCAAGGCGATCATGCACACGTTTGCAAACAGTAAAAGCGTTTGGAATGCACAAGGATGCAACGTGACGCGAGGCACGAGAAACAGGCATCTTGCAGCTGCTGTGCTCCGCGCCACAAAGGCTGCTCCGGCAGCACGCGAGCCCGAGGCACAACACTGCGTGTCCTAAGGCTCGCTGCTGCCTCAAATCGCATCCGGTCGCAGGTGGAAACACCAACGGGCTCCGGCGGAGGGAGGGCAACCTGCGACAGAGCAGCGGCTGAAGCGTGGACACCCCTCTCGGAGGGGCGAGACCCGAGATAAAAGTGAGGGGAGACTGCCGGAGCGCGGGGAGGACGCGCGGCGGGTCCCGGGGACAGAAAGGACAACAAAGTGGGAGCAGAAAGGGGCGATGTGGCAGAGGCGCAGAAGCCAGCTGCAGCTCAAACCGAGGGAGCGGACAAGGGGACCGGGGCCAGGGATTAGTGACCAACGGGAGGGGGAGGGCCAGCCGCAAAGGGAGGCTGGTAAGACCGACCCGAGGGGCGCGTGGCCTGGGTAGGGGAGCAGAGCGCGGTGGTCACCTGTATTGTTTGAAAAGCTGGTCCGACTCTCTAAAGCCGTTGTTCAGCAGCATGTTGATGCCGGCCAAGGCCAGCTCCGCGTCCTGCAGGGGCGCCGCGGCCGCCGCGGCCGAGTCTCCGTCGTCCCGCCGCCGCGGCCGCTGCTGCTCGGAGCCGGCCATGGGCGCGCGAGGCTCTGGGCAGGGCCGAGGCGAAGTGGGGCGGCAGCTGCGGACCCCGCGCGCGCCCGAGCCCGGCTGGCTCTACCTGCCGGAGCTCCGCGGAGCCGGGAGGCCGGGGCGGGGCGGCTGGGAGGGCGGAGCCGCCTCCCGCCGCCGCAGGGGATTACTCAGCAGCCGCCGGCCCGCGCCCGCCGCGAGACGCCCTGCCCGCGCGGGCCCCAAGGCCGAATCCGTTTCCGGGTGTCTCTAACCCCGCGGAGCCGGCCCGAGCGGCCGCCGCCCCCGCTTCCTGCAGCCCCCGCGCGCCGGCCCGCCTACCCACGCCGCGCCCCCAGCCCAGCCCTCCGGGTGCAACGCGCCAGGCCGCTGGGACACCCACGAGGCCCGGAGGCCCAGACCTTGACCGCCTCCTCCGAAGGGACCGACCCCGGGGTCTCGGGGAAGCCTGAGAGTACAAGCGGGTTTGTTAAGGGAACAGGGAACTCCGACGGAGAAGTCGCTGCGAGGGCGCGCGGTTGGAGACAGGTGGGCAGCAGCCGGCAGCAGCGCTTTCGCCCCGAGCACTTGCAACCCAGGGAGTCAGAGCCCGAGGCCCCCTTCAGCGTCCCGCTCCAGGGGCCGCCCGCCGGCCGGCCGGCCAGTGGCAGCCAATCCCGGTGCAGGTGGGCGGCGGGGGCGGGGCTGTCCCCTCACACCTGCCGGACCGCTGCCCGGAGCCCAGAGCTCAGGTACGAGCCGGGAGAGAACTCCCGTATCCCAGCACCCACCCTCCCTGGCGCGACACTAACATTTGTGTGATGGAACAACAGGACTAAATGGTGGCCCAAGTGGCATATACCTAAATTTTTAAAGATAAGCTGTTCAAGTGCATTCTCCTCTTACCTGACAATTATACTGTCCTACTAATGAAACAAGTGTAAAGCTATGGTTTTCATAGGATCGAGTGTCAGAGATGACTGAATTTAGTCATCGCATGTTTGCCTGTTCTGATGATGGGCTGGTGATGTCTTCTGGATGGGTAATATGGACACAAGGAATTAATACACAGTTTTTATGTTTTTCCCTAAGTTTATTTTTCTTGCCTTTTCTTTAGCAATATCGCTAATATGTTATTACAGTCAAGTTGATGTAAAATTAAATGTCAAAGATAATGTCAAATTAAACCACCTTTCTTAAATCATTGTAGTTCTTAGAGTATAGTTGATTTCAGTTTGGAAAAAAAATGCTCCACTAAAGCATTTACCACTGAAATTATTTTTAAAAATTAAAGCTTGCCCTGGCCAGTGTGTCCCAATGGTTTGGAGCGTTGTCCAGGAAACCTAAAGAATGCGGGTTAGATTCCTGGTCAGGGCGCCCGCCTGGGTTGCAGGTTCTGTACCCAGTGGGCACATTGGAGGCAACCAACCAGTGTTTCTCTTTCACAGGTTTCTCTCCTCTCTCTCTGTCCTCCCTTGCCCTCTCTCTCTAAAATCAATAAACATGTCCTTGGGTGAGGTTAAAAATTTTAAATAAATATGCAGGTTTCAGGATAACCCATGAATTTTAAATACCATGTTCAGCTTTATAATGTGATCAGTATAATAAATTACCACAGAAAATTACAAATTAATATAATTTTATCATATAACTTCCTATTCTTTATTTTGTGATTTGCACCATCTCTTCCACAAGTATCCAAACCCAACCTTCAGAGATACAAATTTAAGAGTAATGTGGATAAAAACCCATGCTACTCGAGGTGCACGTCTGGAGTCACATACTGGGACACCAAAAGAAGCAAGAAAATGGATGATTCTCACTCCTGGGGAACGCCACTTTGTAATGCCAGAATCATCGCATTCATGCCATCTGAGAAGGATTTGACAAGTTGACCAATTTTTCTTTTTTTTAGCCAAAGTTAAAATAGTGTTAGCCTCAAATAGCATCAGGGCCACAGAACTTTATGGCATTTGGAGGCCATAATTCTTGTTTTTAGGAGACATCAAGCATGAGGTGAGTGGCATTTCCCTGCGGTTTGAACAATGTTCATCATGACAATTGATGTTGAGTGTCACAGGTTTCACTGAGACAGCACTGAGTGCCAGGTCCCGAATGACAGAGGTGCCTGTGTGTTATATAATAAATTTAGGTATGTGTATGTTTTCATGGATAGGGCCCTCAAATGCAGGTACTATACTGGCCATGTGGCTCACATGGGACTCTTACCAGAGAAAGAACCCTGGCCACACATCACCGTAGGCAACGGGAGCTGACCACATGCCCGGTGCTTACAAGCTGCCTGACTTGGGTCTGTGGAACTATTCACCCCCAGATCACTGAAGCCATCTAGTCAACAGGGGACAGAAACCAAAAGAGCAGTACCAAACTTCGCAGATATGCCTGTACCCCACAACTAATGGAGGTGGCCAAGCACAGTTCTCTTTGTTCCTATTTCTGAAAAGAGGGAGGAAAAAAGTCAAGAAATCGATGGTACCGTGGGCACTGTTACCATGTCATACGTGGGGCCCTGCAGCTAACAATGGCAGGAGGAGTGGGCAGGAGCCAAGCAATCTTTGTGGGGCTGGTTCTGTCTCAAGAACATAGCACAGTTGGTTATGGTTACACAGACTTACTGAAATCTAACTGTTGAATGATTGGGGCAAGGTCCAGTGCAATTGCCCAGCACACTTATGGGTGGGGGTGGGGAGCGGTGATGTGGATAAAGTGTAATTCTGCCATGTACTGTACAGCAGATACGTGCCAAATTGGACTTAACCAGATACCACAACAATCACATTAGGAACAGTATCATGGGCACTTTCAAATATTTGCTCTGTGATAAGGGATACAAACAGGGCTGAAAATGAGCCTCACAATCCTGAAAACGGACAACACATGAACCAGTAATTATACTCGTGACAGCTGTATTTGGCACTGACATTTGCCCAAGGTTCACCTAGCAGGTGGGGAATTAAGGCTGACTGTGTTTTCTTCACTAGATAATGATGGCAAATAATGATGGATATTGAAGAGGCCATGGTGTATATTCCCTACATAAGGAAGGGAAATCTAATTGTTAGCACATTAGGGCACCATATACTAGACACTGTGAGATTCTCAGCACCCTCTTACAGAACTAATACAATCTTAGGCGCACTTGGCTTCTGTCTACTAGTTACCCAAGTGTTTCCTTTGGAAGGAAAGGAGAAAGGGGAGAGAAAGGGGGAAGGGAGAGGAAAAAAGGAAGCCCTCAAGTGAAGGAAAGAACCTATTTTCTTTCTACATACGTCTTGTGGGTATTGTCAGCAGTTCGTGGTTTTTTTCAAGATTTTATTAAGAAAGCCAAACTCCAGGTCTACATTATCAGTGAGAAGTTTTAGATATGTGTATGACTCTTTACACAGTAGATTTTTTAAGTTAAAATGTCTTGGTTGCAAGGAATACAGAAATCTGGCCCCAATTTTTGATTCATGACAGGGGTTTCCCAAAATGAGGCTGTATCAGGGCTGCAGTTCTGACTAGGAACTGGTTTCTCTACCTCTCCACCTCTCGGCCCTGCCATGTCGGTGCTTGGTGTCTCTACATTCAGGTAGGCTGGTCCCCCCTGGTCCCAAAACAGATGGAAGCTCCCAGGGCTACCTGCTTGCTGCTTTATATCCAGCTGGAAGGCATTGCTTCTCCACGCTTAACCAACACCCCCTTGCCGAATCTCATTGGCTTTGATTGACCTGACTGAGGCCAGGTGCTCATTCTTGAATCAATCAATGTGATTAGGAGGGGGGCTCATTATGATGGATTAAGGCAGGTGTCCAACCCACGACCCTCAGGCCACATGGGCTATGAATGTGGCCCAACACAAAACTGTAAATTTATTTAAAACCTTTTTTTTTTCGTTTTCATCAGTTTTTGTTAATGTTTGTGTATTTAATGTGTGGCCCAAGACAACTCTTCTTCTTCCAGTGTGGCCCAGAGACACCAAAGGTTTGGATGCCCCTCGTTAAGGCAAGCAGAGGCTGCTCCAGGATCTGGGAGGTGGGATCGATTCTGTGCAGACTCCATGGTTGGGAAATTCTAGGTCTGTCAGGAAAAGAGAGGTGGGGAATGGATGTCAGACAACCAGCATCCTCCGCTCTTGTCTTCCTAAGCATAATTTCAGTTTTTGGAATTATAGTTTCAATACGGTTAGAGAATATATTACCTAAAGAAAATCTGGTGTGGTGTGCTTGGGTTATATTAATTTTTTAGTATGCTAATAACCATGACTTAATGTATCTTTTTGTAAGTCTGCGCTATCACTTAAAAAAAATGCAGGTTCCCAGAATGTCTGGAAATCTGAAAAGGAGGAGAGCAAGGAAATTAATGTCACTTACATTTTCATGTTACACAAGATATGCTATCAACTCAGCCCTTTTACTCTGCTGAAGGTGAGGGAAGATTTAGTTAACTGCTTTTAATAGAAGGCAAATCAGGTCAAAGGTTGTCATGTAAAACTGTGTGGCTCGTTCCTTCCTGTTCTGTTCACAGGCGGTTCTCCAGCTGTCCTCTGCCATGGGGAGCACGTGGGGGACCCTCCCCCCCCAACCCCCGGCTTCACCTGACTGTATCTCCAGCAGGTCGGTGGCTCTGACAGGAAACTCGCTCTGCCCTAACTGCTGTCACAAAGGGGGAAACCACACCCTTCGGACGGGATGCCTCCACATCTGCCTTTCCCCCAAACCAAATACCTGGTGGGGTAAAGCGTGAGTTTAGATCATTGCTCTGCTACTGTGTAGATTCAGGGGCAAGACAAGGGAAGTCATGATGTCCCTCCTCTGGTTATCTTCCTCCCACTGGGCAGCTTGAGCAGTGAAGCCTCCTGCCCAGTCCTTGACTAGGATGTGTCTTCACGTGGGAATACCGGTCCTCTCCTCGTCTCCACAGGGTTTCTCTCTCTTTCACTCTCCTCTCTCCCCTCCCATTCCTTCAGCCCTCTTCCTGCATCCCTTCCCTTTAACCTGGCTCCTTGCTTTTCACTGATACCTGCTGTCCCCCAGGCCTACCACCCCTTCTCCTTCTTACAGAAACAATCAAGTCTCCCTTTCCCTCAATCTCATGATGTGCACATTTTGCAGCCTCGGGTGAATGTCCATGACCCCTCTGTCCACTGTCTGTTGTTCTGCAGAGGGAGAGGCTGTCTCTGGTGTCAAGGTCTTGGTCTGCTGAGTCCCTGGGGAGGGAAGCAGAGCTCTGGCCCTGTGGATGAGGGGTGGGGAGAGGTGTCAGAGGTACGGAAAGTTCCATCCAGTGCCCTGGTGGCATTTCTCCTGGCATATCTAAAACCAAATATACCTTGCAGCATAATTAATGTCTATCTTGAATCTCCATTTTTACTAATATCTAAATAAGGAAATTATTTTCCTTCTCTTTATGTAACTTTAACTTATTTCTTACTAACAATCCTGGTCTTATTATACTAAGATAGGAGTCCCCAACTTTTTGGCACCAGGGACTGGTTTTGTGGAAGACAATTTTTCCACAGATGGGGGGTGGGGGGAGATGGTTTCAGGATGATGCAGGTGCATTAATTCAAGCTCACCTCCTGCTGTGCAGCCTGGTTCCTAACAGGTCGGGACCCCTGTGCTAAGATACTGTTAATCCTTTCCAACATCAACTAACAACAAATGGCACAGCCCAGTTCTTCTCTTTACGCTAGGCTCTCCCCCATCGCAAGAAGAGGGAAGATTCTTCCAGTACCTAACCACCCATGGGAATCTATTGTGGGTGAATGTAGCAGCAGCCTCGGCATTGGCTGCTTAGAGTGCGCTTGTTTCCAAATCTTAAAGTGTAATCAGATTCCCTAGGGCTGTTGAGAGCAGGGATTTTCAACATTTTTCATTTCATGGCACACAAAAACTAAATACTCAAATTCTGTGGCACACCAAAAAATACATTTTTTCTAGTTTGACAAAAAATAGTCATACTTTTGATTTATTCACACTGCACAGCTATTGTTGTGTTGGCTGTTGTCATTTTTTTAATTGACTATCAAAGGAAAATGTAGTCAGTGCCACTGACTAAATAGTCAGGTGTTGCATGTTTCAAAAATTCTTGTGGTACACCTGTTGAAAATTGCTGGTCTAGAGCATGCAGTGGGTGCCCAACACCTGTTTGTAACAACGCTGGGTTT